GTTGAAGGGCTTTCAAAGAAGAAAAGTGCATACTTTTAAAATAAAATGAACAATGGAAGAAGGTGATTCAGAAATATAGTTATGCCCAAATACGGAGTTTGCTTCGTAGAGGAAAAAGTTAATAAATCCTGATTCAGCAAATGACTTAATTTTGCGAATGAGTTGGTCTTTCCCAAATGTACCTATCCAAATTAGAAAAGAGGGAAAATAGCATGGGGCATAATTCCTAACTGCATTAATGGGAATTTACTTCAAAGTTAGCAGTATGTAAAAGAGATGTGTAAGTGATACCAATATGAACTTGGTTTGTAATGAATTAATGTAGTTGGTCTTTCCCAAATGTACCTATCCAAATTAGAAAAGAGGGAAAATAGCATGGGGCATAATTCCTAACTGCATTAATGGGAATTTACTTCAAAGTTAGCAGTATGTAAAAGAGATGTGTAAGTGATACCAATATGAACTTGGTTTGTAATGAATTAATGTGGGTTCATATGTTCAAAAAATGTATTTGTAGAGATAAGGGCACCTCCACATACATCGTGGCCTCTGTCTAGAAATACACTCAGGTTGGTCTTTCCCAAATGTACCTATCTAAATTAGAGGGAAAATAGCATGGGGCATAATTCCTAACTGCATTAATGGGAATTTACTTCAAAGTTAGCAGGATGTAAAAGAGATGTGTAAGTGATACCAATATGAACTTGGTTTGTAATGAATTAATCTGGGTTCATATGTTAAAAAAAATGTTCTATTTGTAGAGACAAGGGCACCTCCACACACATCGTGGCCTCTGTCTAGAAATACACTCAGCATGATTGTCCTGAAACCTTTTCACATTCCTTACTCTGGTCCATGATTCCTTCTTCCCTCTGCCGGTGGGTGGGGATGCTGACCAGGGCATTTACTCTGATGTAGAGGTGTTTCTAAAATGGACTAGGTGTTGTAAATTCTGTTGGATTTTCTCTTGCCATAGAAGAAAGAGTCTTAATGTTTGGCAGCATTCCTAAGCTTTATGAACTCTTGAATTCTGTTGGATTTTCTCTTACCATAGGACAAAGTCTTAACGTTTGGCAGCATTCCTAAGCTTTATGAACTCCAGCATGATTGTCCTGAAACCTTTTCACATTCCTTACTCTGGTCCATGATTCCTTCTTCCCTCTGCCGGTGGGTGGGGATGCTGACCAGGGCATTTACTCTGATGTAGAGGTGTTTCTAAAATGGACTAGGTGTTTTGAATTCTGTTGGATTTTCTCTTACCATAGGACAAAGTCTTAACGTTTGGCAGCATTCCTAAGCTTTATGAACTCCTAGAGTCTGAAAATACAATTTTAAGATGATGGTTAGCTTTTGCCTGGAAGTGGACATTATTCTGTGCTTGCTAGTTTCTTTCTTTTGATTGAAACTGGTGATTTGTTAGGTGCTTTGCTCTATCATTACTTAAAGAGCCCTTTTGACAGACAGGTTTTGAATCAAGAATATTGTGTTGTTGGGTAGATTTTCTTCCGGTGTAAAACCCACTTGATAAAAATGGAAGATGCTTCTATTTGGACTCTTATGTCTGTTTTCATACTTCTGGTAGTAGAAACTGAGATTTCACAATAAGCTGCTAGAAACCAAAGGTTTTGAATCAAGAATATTGTGTTGTTGGGTAGATTTTCTTCCGGTGTAAAACCCACTTGATAAAAATGGAAGATGCTTCTATTTGGACTCTTATGTCTGTTTTCATACTTCTGAGATTTCACAATAAGCTGCTAGAAACCAAAGTCCAGAACAGGTTTCACAGCGGTGACACATGTGACAGAATGGATGCACTAGATCAGTAAGAATGGACGGTTGGTCCTATTTTTCATATGCATTTTGAAGTCATTTCATCTGAAGCTGTAGCTTTTCTGCTTTTCTGAAAATCGGGCAACAGATTTATGGAATTACTAACTAAATGCTGTTTTCAGATGAACAGTTTGCTCTTTATCTTTTCCCCCAAAGCAGCCTAAAATAGTAACAATGAAGAAGTGCATGGCCTGTATGGGTGGCATTTGTGGCAAGTGTGGCATCAAAATGGATGCTCTTGATCACCCTTGCTGGCAGTCAGTGCTAGGGGATAGCCCCTGTCCTGCTCCTAAATCCTGTGTATCCTGGGCTGCATAAGGAGAAGTGTGGCCAGCAGGTCGAGGGAGGTCATTCTCCCCCTCTACTCTGCCCTGGTGAGGCCACAACTGGAATGCCAGTTCTGGGCTCCCCAGTTCAAGAGAGACAGGGAACTACTGGAGAGAGTCCAACGAAGGGCAACCAAGATGATTAAGGGATTAGAGCACCTCCCTTACGAGGGGAGGCTCAATGAGCTGGGGCTCTTTAGCCTGGAGAAGAGAAGACTGAGGGGAGACCTCATCTATGTTTACAAGCTCCTAAAGGGTGGGTTGAAGGATGATGGAGCCGGACTCTTTTCAGTGGTTTCCAGCGATAGGACGAGGGGTGACAGGCGCAAGCTGGAACATGGGAAGTTCCACTCAAATACAAGGAAGAACTTCTTCACAGTGAGGGTGACAGAGCCCTGGAACAGGCTGCCCGGGGAGGTTGTGGAGTCCCCTTCCTTGGAGATTTTCAAGACCCGCCTTGATGCAGTCCTGAGTGATGTGCTCTGGGCAATCCTGCTTTGGCAGGGGAGTTGGTCTAGATGGTCTCTAGAGATTCCTTCCAACTCTGTCGAATCTGTGAATCTGAATCATGGTGGAGTAGCCTTATGGGATAGTGGCCCAGCTGGAGCTTGTGGTGTGCCCAGCTTGTGCTTGGTGAAGAGGAGGACAGGCAGAAATGCTTCCATGAAGGAGAGCACCTCAGTGATGCAAAGACATGGGCGATTAAGTGCTTGATAAATTGTGTAGACCTGAAGGGAATTAATGAGACCCAATTATTTATCAATTGTGGTGGAGCAGCCTTATGGGATGGTGGCCCTGCTGGAGCTTGTGGTGCGTCCAGCTTGTGCCTGGTGAAGAGGAGGACAGGCAGAAACGCTTCCATGGAGGAGAGCACCTCAGTGATGCAAAGACATGGGCGATTAAGTGCTTGATAAATTGTGCAGACCTGAAGGGAATTAATGAGACCCAATTATTTATCATTGCTAATGAAGTAGCTTTTTCATGAGGAGGGCTGCTGTATGTGACTTAATAATTCCAAACCAGCTGGGGCTATGTCCAGTTGGGTAGCGGCGTCTTCGCAGTTTTGAAACGCATACCCATGTTTGCTCTATCACCATGGCCACCGTAACTTAATAGGACCTCAGTGTTCGTGTGTAACTTGAAGCTAAGTTGGTCGTAGGAGTGTGTGTGTGTGTGTGTGTCTGTGTGTGTGTAGGGAGGAGTGATGATGAGAAAACCTGGAGAACTGGAAACAATTACAGGTCAAACTCTATCTTCCCCTAACAGAGACCCCATGAAGCTCTTGAATATATTATATTTAACTTTATTGAACTTGATGACTAAACAATTTCCTGCTCAGGTTGGATAACCACATCGTGTAAGTCCAGGATACGGAAAACCTGGTTAACTTGTCCCATTTTTTGGACATTAGCACAGAGAAGGAGCTGCTAGAAATTCAAAGGTGGTTCTTCGAGTGCTCAATTGAAATCTGCTTCATGAAATGGAAATTTTGAAGCAATCCAAATAATACCAAGATTAAACAACAAAAAGGAAAGATAATCTACAGGATGCATGGGAGATGGGGCAAAATGTCTAATGATCTACAATAGGTAGCATGTTTTGTGCCTACAGTATTCCATTATATTTAGTTAGGTCAGTGTTTGTGATGCTTTTGCAGCCTTTCGTGATTCGTATGAATATTTGGTGCTTAATATTTTCTTAGAAATAAAATGAAGGTTAAGAAAAAAAAAAGTAAGATCATGGTGTTTAGCGAGTATAATAGTAGCACAGCGTATGGATATTTACTAATTTTACACGCTTAAGGGAGCTTCTTGTCTTGTTTTCAGTGTGGAGGTTGTGTAGTGTTTGGATACCCGTTAGCCATGCTGCTGTACATGCAGCAGTAAAGACATCCCGGGTTGTGGTTTGAAGGTGATGCTCCACTGCTATTTGAAGGATGACCTTATTTTGAATGATATAAAAATAACAGCAGATTGTTTATAATAACTCTGACGGCAGGTTTAGATTCTTGACTTCACACCATTTCCATTATTAAGAGAGACATATGTAAGTAGCAGTTGCTCCCAGATATATGCATGTATTCTGGCAAGAGGTTTAAGACATACTGTCTACTGTTTAAATTTTGGACATCTGAAGATTTTTTCCCTCCAAGGCTTTATAAAAGTTAGATTACTGCATTTGTATATTTTCTTAAAACTGAAGGAGCCTCCCAAAAGTATAATATAGTGTTTAAATCTCTATATACATTTTTCTTTAAGATTTGCATGGAAACATAACTAAAATAATCATGTATCCATCAGAAAACTTTCAAGAAATATGTATTCAAATTTCGTAACAGTCTTGCACAGTTATTTCCCGTGGCTGGAGTATTGACTGAGTTCACTAATAAATGTATTTTGGCTTTTGATGCGTTCCTGTCCAGATCTCGCATAGTATTTCTGTGAAACACATTTTGAAATATCTGTAAAGAATATTCGCACTCGAAAGTGCTGGAAAGTTTACCGGTACAGACGTGGGGTACTGATACATAGTGGACCCCAAAGAGTAATTAAAGCAGCTGGGATTTAGTACGCTCAAGTCGCAGCTCAGGAATTAAAGACACAGAGAGCACTGACAAAAATCATTAGTTAAAAGGAACCGTAAGGCTTTCTCCGATGTACTTTTTGTCATATTCATCCAGTTTTCTTTAATATGTTTATAAACTTGCTACTCTTTTGACCTCTTTTTTACTGTGGAACAGATATCTGTGGTTAGGTTTTTTATTTACATATGCAATAATATTTGAGAAATTAATGGACTCTAAGAAAATACATCAATTACATTGTTTTATCTTTTCTTTTTCAGGATTGAAGTGGATCTAGGGACGGATGGATGACTGAATATTCATATGAAGAGGAAAGCCATAAAAGTTGGTTGACGTTTTTACAGCCATATGTATTATACATATTACTGCTATTATCAAAAATTTATATTGTGTTACAAAACATAACAGATGAAATAACCGGTCTGAGCTTCGTATGCTGTATTGTCTTTCGGGCGGGGCAATACTATAGCTTAACTCAGCTGTAGCTTAGTGCCACAGTTTCTGACCAAACCTGAGTGTTCAAAGGAAAACCTAGTAGTATGTTGAGGAAACAGGTAATTCCTTTGAAGCCAGGTGTTTGAATGGGCTGATGCATTGTGGTGTTCATTGTTCTTCTGGGCAAGGATGAAGGGAGAATGAGAGAGGTGTTGTCTTCCATTGCCGCTACTGGCTGTGATGCTTAATGCATTGGTGAGTGGCTCCTCATCCACAAATGCTGTTTAAGAAGTCAAACAGGATACGATATCTTCAGAAGTATCTTGTCACTTTGTTTTCTTATCGTAGAGAGGTGGCTCTCTTACAGCATACATTTCCTGCACTAGTTAAAAAGGAAGAAGCTGGTAGTGGACCTCTGTGCTTCACTGACTTTATTGATATGCTTTATAGGATGATAAAATTCGGAAGGCCTTGACATCTGTCAACCTGAGCTGTTGGTAACTGTGAACTATAGGCTTTGGCTGGGCTGCTACATTAACCAGTTCCTGCCAAGGATGTTTGAACACAGCTAACTGTGCCTGTGGGTTTGCGCTGGAGCAAATCAATACTACTGATAGATAGAGTGTGTGGTCCCGCAGGATGCAGTGTGCCATCCAGCAGGACTCCATGCAACAGCTCAGAACAAGGCATTCTGCAAAGTCTACTGGTCAAGGAGGGGTATGTTATGGTGGAAAATCTCTTACCTGGAGAGCTTTCTTTAGTCCCTGAATTCCAGTCAGGGTAGGAACAATAATCAAAAAACCAGCAAATTTCCCCTCCAGGTTTCCCAAAAGCACAGTGTCAGTTGAATACCAGAAACTTAACTGTATAGTTCTGGTCACATGAGCAAAGTAGTTTACTAGGGTAAAGATTCTTATTTGTCTCAGTGATAATTTGGTTATGTCAATATCTTAATGTTGACAGTTTTACAGTTTATCAGCAGCTGATTTAGATACAGACAAGTTTACTTTTAATTCCTTCTTGTATTAACCTTGTTTAGTGTTTACAACAGATAGTGGGCACACTGATTCTAGCTACCTCTGGATTCACAAGCAGCGTAAGACTTCGGGGAAGCATCTGTGTCCTTGAATCCAATCTCCTGAAATCAGACAGAGAAAAGGTATTTAGTTCAGAAGGATCCATAGCTTTATGTGCAGCAGGTTCCAAAAAACACCTCCAGTATCCAGGAGCCAAATTTAAGCCCTAATAGACACAACAAGTGGTATTAGTAGCTCTGAAGGAATGTACACAATTGCTCTTTGGGATCAGGGACCCCATACGCCCAGATATGAACCAGCAGTTGTTGCCTGCTAAAGCCAGCACACAAAGTCTTATGGAATTTCTCTCTGGTTTGGTTGCTGATGTGTCGGTGGCTGTTGTCTGTACGGGTGTCTGATAGCTCGGAATGGGCTCACATCATGGGGGAGCAAACACCTCCCTGCTTGGACCTCCTGACCATGGACAGTAGAGTGAAAAACCGATACCATCCAAACCGTGCTTGCATCTTCCAGAACTGCAGTGATAAAATCCTGTGTGTACAAGCTCAGGGAGGCTCTTTACTGGTAGAAAGTGTGAGAGGGTGCAAAGAACAACCTAATTATCTGCAAGCTATCTCTGAATGTCATTATGTTACAGTGGACTCCTCATACTATCCAGAAAACCACACAGAATAGTACTACCATAGCGTGGCCATGTTTTGCACCAAATTGAGGAGAAACTGGGTCAGACTAGAGGACCATCTTAGGCATTTGGCCTGGGACGTGACACCAGAGCAGAAAATGTTAAGGATTTCTCAGATCCTTGAGAGGAGCTATCGTAACTGGAGTCTGTACGGAGGAGGGAAGGCTTCCAGATCAGGCAAACGCAGAAGACTCTTAGACTCATGTGGCCTCTTCCCAAATTTCTTGGGAAAGACTGTGATTGTGTGAGATGCAGCACTGCTAGCTCTCTATCTCTGTTCCTCTCTCTGCTTTTGCCTTCCTGTTGCAGTGCAGAGTGATGGCAGAAGGAAGGAAGCACAGGAGAACAGGGTGACCTCTTTCTTGTCAAGCCATAGTTCCATTCTCTCATGCCCTTCTGATGACATCCCACAGTAATCATAAGGAAGCTGTGCAAAATATGTGCAGATAAGGAAGGGGATACTGAGTTATTTCATTACACATTTTCTGTTTGGCAGCCTTTGCAAGCGCGGGGCTCTGAATCCAGCTGTTAATCTCTTACATTAGGAAAGTACCATGATTAAATCATATCTCTGAATGAGGAAAAAAAAAATGTTGTTATGTGGAGGAATTCAAAGTCCGAGGGTAAAAATTCCTTTTCTGGGAAGACTGATTCCAGAAAACTTAAGCAATAGAGGTGGAGAGGGCTCCTCTGTGGTCACTGTTAAGATCGGTTGATAAAGTCCTGGCTCTGAGAGGAAAGAGATTGGATTTCCCCCAGCACCCTGCCTCAGCCTTTCGCTGTAGTGCTGCTTTGCTAACTGAGTTCTGAAAGCCTTCCATGGCTGACACGAGTACGTTGGGGTGTAAGTAACTTGAGTTGCATCATCTGTATGTTATATTGGTATATTTTTAGGTCTTTGTTGGTCTGCCTCGGGCCATATCGTAATGTATGTAAATGACATCTAATGCAACTAATGGAGAAAATACAAACATAAAATTTTCTGTCTCATAAAATGAAACCAGATGAATCTTTCCCAGAAAAATGAGAAATAAGCAAAATAAACCTGTTTGTGTATATGTATTTTGAATGTGTGCAACTTACGGTGCTTCTACAATTTCCATAATAACAAAAACTAAATCCAGAGGTTCAGTTCTCTGTTGAATCTGACATTTAACGTTTACATTTTTCAGTCTGCACTGGTTGGATGTGAATGTATGGAGATGAGAGACCAGTATGGGAGCGGGTAAGGAAATGGGTAGCAGACAGGGAAGAACTATAGCTCTCAAAGTCCTGGGCAAAATAAAGATCAAGACTTTAAACCAAAGAGGAGTGGGCAGGACTGAAGGGTGGTCAGAGAGCAAAATTAAAGAGAAGAGATGGCTCAGATTGAAAAGGCGGGTCTGCACTGTACTTGACAAATGGTCTTGGGTACAGTCTCCCACTCACGCTGTGGTTTCACAGGCAGCACATGGAAACATTATTGAGCATTTTGTTTGCTCAGGCTTAGTGATGTTCTAAGTTATTCAACGCTCAAAAAATGATAATCAACATAGAGCTGTATTGAATTCAGTGGCTGTAGGAGATGGCTGCTTATTTTCTAAAGAGGTCTATGAGATAAGCCCAAGAAGTACTGTCTTATCACAAATGTAACCTGCGGGTTCTCTCTTTAAAAAAAATAATAAAACAAACAAAAAACAAGAGCAAACTTTGGCTCTGCTCTGTAGAGGGTGTTTCCTGAGCTCTCCAGAGCTCATCCTGTCTCAGGAGCCTCCCAACCTCTGATGTACCACCCCCATGTGGAGCAGGGTGTAGGAGGGTGACGTGTGGGGTGCTGCCACAACCAGGGCAGGGCTGCCCTCCAGGGCGACCTCGGCAGGCTAGAGCAATGTGCTGGCAGGGACCTCATCAAGTTAAACAGAGGGGAAGGTCCTGCACCTGGGGAGGAATAACCCCTTGCTCCAGTGCAGGCTGGGCAAGCCCCTGAGCCATCTCACTTTGCAGCTACCCTGGTTTTGGATGGAGTTTGGGTTCATTAGACTTTCAAGCTTTACTTTTTTATTATTATTTTAAAGTCTAGTGATGATAAAAATGATACATATTTTTTTTAAGTGTGTTTGAGGGTGTTGCCAGGAAGTTTTATGTTTTCATTTGCAGAGTCAGAACATTAGAAGCAGTGCGGTGATACGTTTGGTTTTTGTCATCACATGTCCCCTCTGTATCTATTACAAACAAATGCTGTTTTCCTTGAAAGAAAATGACTGCTCTTAAGTGGTCTTTCACATCTAACATCATTCAGTGGATTCTTGGAGTATAATTATGACTAGAAACATCAACAGGATAAAATATGTTAATCTCAAGGGAGTTATTTTGCACTGGCCATCAATCTATCCTTTCTGTCATGTGCTTTTCAGTTTAGATTACTCTCAGGCAAAGAGGCTGTACTTTGATGTTTTGTCTCAATTCATTATGATTATAAATATCTTGGATAAAACAATGTAACAAACGACCACTTAAAAATGACTGATGGCTCCATTCAACGAGGCAGGGAGACTGTGAAGTTCTTTTGGTTTCATCTGTTCTCTAGCATTTATCAAGATGGGTCCCTTAGAGTCAACTGGTGGTTGATATTTAATGAATATTTCACAGTGTAAATAGATAACAGACAGTTTGTTGCCTGGAGCCCAGTCGTATTCATAGGACAGATCTGCTTTTACTTAATTGTCAGTTAAAAATGTAAAACTTATGCTGAAACTCTAGAGAGGGAGGAGAACTTTTCCCCAAACCTTATATTCAGGAAAGGGAGGAGCAGGGAGAGATTTTCTTTCTTTTTCTGTTTTTGCCACGTATTGTGCTGTCTCTTCTCTCCCATCCTTTCCCGTTGGATGCTGGTGTAGCTGCTGGGCTGCCAGAGGACCGTGCATGGGCAGCGACGTAGCCCCTGGGCTCACTCGCTCGTGAGGTGGAGCTGGAACTGATCCCCACAGCTGAAAACCTGCTGGGGGCATTTCCAACACTGCTCTTTTCCGAGGAGAAAAAGATATTTAAGATGCCTGCAGTGAACCCCTTCAGTTTGATGTGCTTGCCTTGCCTATGAGCTCGTTCCTCTTCCCTCTGCCTTTGTAAAATTAATGAATGATTTTTGGGAGGACCTTAGCGTTCCTGTTAGGCTTTCCTTACAAACAGCAGTA